ATATATATATATATATATATATATATATATATACATATGAATGCATCTGTGTGTATCTGAATATGTTTATGTTTAAAAAAGATACCTTCCTCCATCATAGACTGCTACAAAGTTGCGCTTGCATTCGTTGGAGTTTGCCATCTCATAGTCCAGAAAGCGCAGGTAGATCTGGTCAAACAAGAGAAAACGTGGAGGGAAAAAAAGGTTAAGGAAGTTTAAACTACTTTGGCATTTTAAATGACAGGGATTAGAAAAAGAGTGAGACCAAAGAATTTTGGTCCTTTCTAACATACCATGTGCTTCTTAGAATCTTACACAATACACGATGATATAGCAACCCCTTAATGTAGTAAGTCAGATAGACTGTTGCCAGGAAAATGTCCAAGATATATCCATTATAGAGGAGGACTTATAGACAGATAATGCACATTTTAATTTGATGTTGGTTTTTTATTACAATAGCGACCCAAACAATACAATGTTTAAAAGGGAATAAAAATAAACAATTTTCCTCTCTGTTTGGTATAAGACGTATCTGTCAGTTAGAAGAAAAAAAAAAGGTCACCAACTTTTGGCAAAATACAAACTTTTTTTAGACTCATTGAACTCCTACATTTTGTGAAATTATCAAACAAGCTTCAGTTTCAATCTTCTAAAACCCCAGAAAAAAAAAAAAAAAACCTATTTAATACACCTTAGCCCTTTACAGTGTACTGTCAAAGTTTCCTGATTGCATATCCACTGATGCCTCTAATCCATGTATCAGGCTAAGATCGGAAACATCCGAGCCAGGCTTTTGGTTTGTTGTGCACCGCCTTGGCTATCTTTTCAGGTTAATGAGTGGACAACTTTCTAACTGTGACAGGGAAATGTGACATCTTTAAACGCCGAAAGACACAAGCTCTAGACAGGGCAGGATAATGGACTTCGCAATGACAACCTGGCTTTGACAACATGACAAATGCAATGCATTGGGGCAAAAAAACAAACTAAATACTTCTCCTGGGGTCTCATATCAGGGTCAATAAGCTTTCATTGAGCCAGAAATGCTCAATGTCAGCTTCTCTGTTCTCACAAATACATAGCTATATTTATACACAAAGACAAACATGTACACTGCCTTACAAATATAGCATAATAACTTCATATAGTAACATATTTTTTTTCCTACTTTATTTTATTATAATCACAAATGTCAAATATGCTTTTGGAATTGATGCCAATTATGGGGTAGAAATAGAAAATACTTAATATTTTGATTAAACTACAGCACCCCATATCCAGCTCACCTGATTGTAGTACACCTTAGTNAGACAAACATGTACACTGCCTTACAAATATAGCATAATAACTTCATATAGTAACATATTTTTTTTCCTACTTTATTTTATTATAATCACAAATGTGTATAATGGATAGGAAATAGATGCCAATTATGGGGTAGAAATAGAAAATACTTAATATTTTGATTAAACTACAGCACCCCATATCCAGCTCACCTGATTGTAGTACACCTTAGTGTAATTCGATTTGAGTATAAATAAAGCTCTTCTCTGAAGGCTTTAGAGGTTTATTGGAGAACATACCGTAAGTGAAGAAACAGAACTATGCAGACAAAGAAACATATCATACACTGGAAAAACGATCTAGAAATAATAAAAAATTCCTTAAATGAAGTGTATTTCCCCTTAATTTAAGTAGGTAAATGGGATAATTTGCTAATGATATGAGTGTTTTTACTCTTAATATCAGATAATTAGATAACATGCACTTGAAATAAGACAATGCAATTGTTTTTTCTTATTCTAAGTGTAAATTGTCTTGTTCCATTGGCAAAATGTCTCTTTTATCTCCTCAATCCAAGAAAAATTAACTAATATTAAGAAAAATTGCATAGTTTTGGTTAAAAATTGTCAATATTTTATACATTTGCATATAAAAAAAGACATGGCTGTCTACCTACGTTGAAGAGACAGCAAAGAGAGCATCAAAAAGAGCACAAGGTTAGAGGCCCTCTGGTAACACTTTAGGAGTAGCAGATATTCTCAGTTCTGTTTAGAAAATATTCCTTTAACCATTCTGGTCTTCATGAAAGAGCCAAATACTTGTTTCCCCCAATATTTCAATTGGGAAACATTTACACACTAAAACACTGGTCGGCATAAAAGGGTTACCTGTAGCACTAGAGAAAAAGACAAAACAGAAGAAAAATGATGAAAACAAGAAAATAGTACAGAAAAAAGCTGGCAAAAGTAAGAGACTGCATCTTTTTCCTTCCAGATTCTGTAAGACATTTACCCAATTTATCAGATGTTGCAGTGTCAAAGCTATTGGGATCAGATATCACAAATTCTCTGGCCTGTATATGTCTGAAGTAATCTGTCTAAACAAGTCCCTGTTTTTCTTATATAAGTCCACCAAACAACCAAATCGTACAATCAAAGGCTCCATCCAAAGTTGTTGGGGTAAAGGATGGATTTGCAGATAATGGCAAAAAAAAAGGACAACCTTCTTAGTTTAAATAGTATTATTTATTTCCAGAATATGAATACTGACACATACTGATTGGCTTATAACTGTAATGTGATCAACTGATTGATGTGGGCGATTTTATAATGAGTGTCTTCCAAAGCTGCTAAGTCTTGGTCAGCTCCATCTTTTTTAAATGTACCTTGTATCCTAAAAAACTATAGCTTGATTATCTCCAGGAAACCTGGCATATGAGTCTATGGCTGAAACAAGTACATAAAGATATGACCTGCATAAAGGGATATTTTGTTAGAAGTGTACTGTATATACTGTGTATGTATATATATATATATATATATATATATATATA